TACCATTACCCTAAGATACGAATACCAGATTAATAGATTAAAAGACATATTGAATTGTTCAAGTGTGTTTCAACACATCAAGACAAATTATTCTTCATATGATAATAATCATTCCTGTCTACATATTATATCTGATTTCTCACTCTATTATTTCTTCGTTTATTATCTTGCTCTTCAATAAATTAACCAGCCAACTCCTGGAAAATAAATAAATTTATTTCTTCTTTTAAAATAATCACGGGTACTCATCTAAATAATATTTAATTAAATGAAATAAATAATAGTTATATGTAAGCTTACAGGTCATTATTATCCAGATTCGCATAATATCTTGAAGAAGGAAACGCGTGGGTATTTCGACGAAATATCGCGAGTACGATTGAGTCGTCAAGCGGAAATGGCGTAAAATATCCAATTGCTAAGTGGGAAGTATGCGGGAATCATATCGGGCAGACAGCATGGCGCGCGGCAGGAAGACCGGTCGGCCAAGAAACTAAGCCATCATCCAACATTCTTCAATATACACATACACTCCCTTACTCTTCTTACCAAACTCATCATTATCATCTATGTATGTTTTTCTTTTCCATTATCATCCTAAGTTATGCATCTATGCAACAACTTACATTACCGGACAATATTTTTTTAAATAATTTACTCTTTACCCGCTAATCAACTATGTAATTAGTTATTTATTTAATAGTTTTGCAAATCCATCACCTGACGCATAGATTTACATTTTTAATAAATCTCTAGTACAAATATGTCATAAACTGTCAAGAGAGTTTATATTCTTCATGGTTTTATATTGAGAAGAAATTTATTTTGAAAAAAAATAATAAATTAATTTGTTTAAAATTTTATTTTTTAGCTGAAGAAATAAAATTTTTATTTAAAAAATTTAAATAGATAAATTGCAAATTTTTATCCAAAAAAAAAAAAATATTCTTTTTTACAAAAAATTTGCTGGGAAAAAAATTTTTATTTCTTCAGCTAAAAAATAAAATTTTTTTTTATTTTAAACAAACTAATTTATTTTTTTAAAAAATCAATTTTTTCTCTCAGTGATATCTTTGTTAAAAAAAATTTCAGATAGTAGCTAGATAAATCTGATGGATTATACTTATTGTGATCTAGCTACTATCTGAAATTTTATTCACTCAGTATAATCTGGGATGATATCCAGTGTCATCTTGTTCTTTCCGTATAGATTGATGATCATTCTTTCAATTTTCTTCAAGTTGAAACTGCTGAGGTTCATAAATTTCCTCAGGTAATATTTCAAAAGAAAACAACTACACAGAAAAAATAATTAAAATTAATCAAGAGGAAAATTTTTGAACCAAAAAAATAATTTTGAAGTTTCATAGGCTAAAAATTACTGAGTCAAGAAAAAATTTATATAAACAAATAAAAATTTCCTAGTTTAAGAATTTTTCGACTCAAATGAAGAAATAAAAATTCTTTAAAATAATTAACTTGATTTAAGTAAATTTTTTTTAATCAAAAAACGCTTGTACTAAAACAAATTCTATTAGCTGATATTAAATACCCAGTACTTGTAAATAGATACCTTCAGAAGTCAGAATCAACTGTGTTCCCTGAAAGAAGAAAAGATAAAAAGTTGGTGAATGGGCTGGAGATGATGCTCCAGACTGCAGGTATCATTCCAATATCTGGTATCGAGTATCAGCAGGAGTATCACCAGGTGGGGGAGAAAGAAAGCGAGACGATGGTAATGGTGAGGTGTGGATGGTATTGGTGGTAGATAGCGATGGTGGTGGACGCCCGGAGGAGGGCTCCATGGTTACACTTTGGACAGGTGGAAGAGCCAAGAAATCCCAGCATCAGATCTTGAGATCTCATAGTATAGAGGGGATTGACGATTGTCGACAAAAGGGACTGATGGAGATCGGGGCCCGAGTGGCTTTGCCAGCGGCCCTGTTCCGAATGGGCGCGTGTTATGTACTTTACTCAGTAGATCGACGTTCTTGGGTTTTCTTCTCTGGTCTCAGCTTCACTATAGCATATGTAGATACATACGTGTAATATTATACAGAGATATATCTATATCTCCATATAAATATATATATATATATATACACATATAATACCAGAGGATTCAGTAGGGGAATATATCGCTCTCCATCTTGCGCACGGCAGTCCGTACCGGCGGGGACGGTGTGATCGTGGAGAGCGCGAGGAAGGCTCCTTGGCGCTTGCTCCTGAGCAGCGACCAGTAGTCATACGACGCCCCTCAACCGTGTCGGATGAGTTCCTATCTAAGTGGATTCTTTTTTATCATCTTCGAGATTTTATTGTGACGTTAATGTGACTTGTGTTTATTATTATTTATATTTATTGTTTCATCACTGCGTTGGTAAATTTACTCCCTCAGTGTACAGTGATCTTGATAATTGTCATCCATTGTCCATCGTCTTATCTAAAGTGTCCAGGACATTACTGCTACCACTACCAAATAAATAAATATCAATACCAATAATAATTATTATAATAAATTATTATTATATTCTTACCTGTATTAATTAATACGTGTGTGAATGGTGGATAGTGTCAGTGATAAGTGCTAGTGGCCGCGGCCAACCAAAGATTTCTCGCGGTGTATGAACACGCTGAGATGCCGTGGCTGCACGGACTACAGACTCACGGCTAGCTATAGGTAAAATATATCAATTACTTATCAATTAAATATTAAATCCTTTATATTAATCCCAATCATCATCATCATCATCATCATCATCATCATCATCAGTAAATAATAGTTCACAATTTGATGGAAATATTTATCTGATGTTTCATTAAATTATCACGACGTTTCATCGGTTTCTCGACTTCTTCAGGCGCTAGAACAATTAAATACAAAAATACTTTACAATAATATAATTCGATAACTTTATAACTACTATCAAGAATGTGCTATTTACGTATTGCTGAATATTCTCCATGTTAAACATCAAAAATCTTGTTTTTCATTTTCTTTATATTTTTTTATGCGTATCGCAAATTTAACTAAAATAAAATTATATTTAAATAAATTAATACCTCTATTTTTTCTTACACTTAAACTTATATTGACGATTGGCGTTTGTACCTAATAAATAAATAAATAAATAAATAAATAAATAAATAAATAAATAATTACATTAAATAATATTATCATACTTTGTATGACCTAAACAGTAGAAACTTACCTCAAAAATAAAAATTATAACCAAGTCTAAGAATACAGCAAAAAATTAGTCTGATTTAAATCAAAGATCCAAGAAGAATATATTTCTTCTTGGTACCCTGGCAAGGAGAGACTTACTCGATTTTCCAAAGAGTTTTATGATAGCTCCAACAGATTCGAGATTCGTCTTGATTATTTTCAACGATGACGTTTGTGTGTGTACATATCTGAATATATGTGTACGTATGTATACATACATGCTCCCGCACGTTCCACCGTGGCAATCGGCCACCATCAGACTCACTCAGCGGCCCCGTATCCTTGCTTTTAGCGCTCGCGCGCAGATTCCACGACGCGGACCGCATTCCTCAAGCTGATGCGAGAACTAAGCCCAGCGTTACATTAGCTCTTTACGACTCATCTGCAATATTATATACATATACATAAACATATATTCTTCTTTATGTATACCTACACACTTTCCTTACATTAATTATTTAAAAACTAAAATCTTTTATCAGACTATCCATTTCTTCTTAGCGGAACAATCTAATGCTTCTTCACAAGTCCTATCATCACCTTGGTCCCAGATGATAATCTACAAGAATAAATTACAATTATACCAGACAAAATGGCTTCTGTAAAATAATATTAATATATTCACCTGGTTTAAACTTGTGATCTACCATTATAAATCTTATCCAGAAGCTGGTGTTTAAAATATAGAAGTCATCGTTGCCTACGTCATGATCATATTACTTGTTGACCTTGTCGTAGAAGCAATGTCTCTGATACTACACAAGTTTAATTCTCGGTCTAGTCCCAAATTATCGTAGACTAATCGTTTGTATGAATGTGTCTTCATTTTCTTCTTCATCTTCATCTTCATCGTTATCTTCACCTGTGTACCCTGAAGAGACGTATGCACAAACAACGTGAGGAACCAGAAGATGAAGTGTAGACACAGACTACCGATACGAGGACTCCCCGGTCTCTGATGTAGAGGGAATGAGATAGCCGAGAGAAAGAAAGATCAAGCGGGGGAGATTATATACATAAGGAGTATCCAGCAGACAGCTTGGCTCTAGCAGCGCCAGCCTTGCCGTCTCCACCGATCGCGTCTCTCTGATGCCGCCATCTATATAAATATCCACAGTTCACCAGACTCTCCAAGTATTTTTTAAAAAACATTTCTATTATTATGTTTCTCTTTGTAGAACAAATAATCTTTCATTTCCTCTCAACTTATTTCTTCTTCTTCATCTTGTTTTATTATATAAACTTCTTATTCCATAAATTCTTTTTTTTTTTTTCTTCGTCTTAATCTCTTCAAATGTTAATGGTTTAATTTTATTTTATTTACTGCATCTATAAATATTTACAAATCATCAATAAAACCTCAATCTTTTATTAGCGATGTTATATTTTAATGAGGTACAATGGAAAGTGAGATGAGCTTGATATAAAATGCGGTTATACTTAAACATTTACGATGTTAACTTGTATAAACACTCTTTATATATATATATATATATATATATATATATATATATATATTATATACAAGAATATAAATCCAAGGTAATATGTGTGTTGATCTTAATCTTAATATCTGATCCATCTCAGGTGATCATTTTATTTACGTATTTTATTGTCAACACATTGATTATTCCTAAGTGAAGAAGTAATTTTTATTACAAGGTGTTTATTTAAACTTTTATCATTTTATATGTTAGTATGTTAGTTATATTTATATATATATACGTACTTTTATTTTCTCTTTATGTAAATATTTACTTTAGCGATAAAACTAATGCCACACCCCGGTAATTGTTTCAGGAGTGGCAGTCCCGGTGACTGGAGTTACGATGCGCACGTTGCTGCTGCTGAGATTGGTGTTTGTGGGAGTGGGCGTGCTAGTTACTGATATCTCTACGGCAACTACGTTACAAACTGATAACAATATTGCTCAGGCTAGTAGTAATTATATTGAAAGCAGTTCTGATAGCGTTGATGACATGGATCCCAACGATAAGCAACGGATAACAGCCAGTGTTGAGGCTAGTCTTCTTTCATTGCTTGGATTCTCCAAGAGGCCCAGACCTAAAGGCAAACCACATGTCCCGGAGTCTCTCAAGAAATTATATACCAAACAAAACTCTATTTCAAGCTCTAATATTGCCAAAAAAGGATTACACACCAGATCGGCGAATACTGTTCGGTCTTTTTCGCATATTGGTTAGTATTTCTTCTTTACCTGAAATTTAAGTTTTTTTGAATATCAAATTATTACTTCGGGCTACTTACCTTCTTTAAATATTTAATTTATTTTATTACCAGAAAATTACCAGTATATTCTTAAAATATATATAATTAAAAATATCTGTACTATAGAGATGATTTTTATCTGTACATAGAACTGGTATAGAATTTATCCAAGATAGCATATATAATTACAAAAAATTTTAAACTTATACAGAAAAAAAAATTAACTTGAATCTACAGAAAAATTCTTGAACCAAAAAAATAATACTGAAGAGTTTAATTGTCTTAACTCAACACGGAAAGAACAAGATGACACTGGATATCATCCCAGATTATACTCAAGTGATATCTGTGGGGAAAAAAAATTCAGTGCAGTAGCTAGAAAAATCCAGATTATACTGCGTGATATCTGAATTATACTCATTGTAATTTTTTTTTTCACTCAGTATAATCTGGGATGATATCTAGTGTCATCTTGTTCTTTCCGTGAAGTCAGAAATTTTTTTTTTCTTTATTTGTTTAAAGCCGCATAAACTACTAAAGTCATGAGCGACTATGTTAGAGATTAAACTTTTGAAGTTGGAACTTGTTTTATTTTTTGGGCTGAGCAGAATAATATAGGTACTTAAATTAACTGCTTTATTATTTAACTACACTATTTAGTTATTACTCATCAATTGCGTTTAAACTTTGTATTGATGCCATTCGGCTAAGCTTTGGCATAAAAATCTAATAAATAATTAAATAAAATAAATATTGAAAATATTTATTGGTGTACGCCGGGCTTGAACCCGGTCCATTGCTTTGGTGAGCAAGGGTCGGATCCAATAGGCTACTGCGAGGCAAAAATTTTTTGTATAAAAATTTTTCTGCTCAAATTAAATTAAATTCTTCAAAATTATTTACTTGATTCAAGTTAATTTTTTTTCTGTATAAAATCTAAAAGCTAATTTTTAATTGATTTTTTACTACCAACAAAAATTTTAAGATTTTCTTCAGGTAAAAATTTTTTTTATCTATTTCTTCCGTTTTACCTCAAACAGAACACCCAAATTTTGAAGCGTGCAATAATTTTAGTGAGTTATTTAGTGATAAAAATAAATTGACCTATGAGTATTTAGTAAGAAAAAGCTGTTAGTTAGAAAGCAATTAGTCAGAGGGTGGTCTTAAATGGCTGGTAATCTTTTAAGTAATCACCAGGTTGACGGGACTTCTGAAGGTATATATTGTCTATATAGATAAAGAATCTCTTCTCTCTTTAATTTAATCTCTCAAAGGCTGCACTTACTCGGCGCAACTTTAAGAACCATAACTTTAACCAAAGCTTTCTTGTGTCTCTCCTCACGTCGTTCATGGAATTCCTCGAGGTTATTCGTGCGCGTTTCAAAAAAAAAAATAAAAAAAAAAAATATTTTTTCCCACATTCTTTCATACCGATGGCTAATGTAGCACGTCTCACGTTGATGACGGTTCTTCTTCTTCTTCTTGATTTTTTTTCCCCATTTTCGTTATCTCTGGAACAAAAATTAGTGTCTGAAATTTGGCATTATACCTCTGGTAGTAACAATTAGGTATACTTAACAAGTTTGTCTAGTGTTACCTGTGTCCGTATCTATATCTGTACCTGTAGCTGTTATATGTAGCTGTAGGTTTAAGTAATAAACAAGAATTCGAAGCGTTATGCACGGATAAGCAAGTTACCTTGAAGTCAAACCTTCCTTTCAATATATATGTATAAATATATGTGACCATTTGACTATCGTCATAAATATACCGATAAAGTAATAAACTATCAAATCGTTCTCGGGTGTTAGTTCTAATGGGACTATAACGGATATATGAAGGCCATCGGCTTTCTGTTTAAACCTCAAAATCTTTATTATTCCACCGTTGCTAAGTACCAAAGAATAAAGAAGAAAAAACATAAACACTCTATTATACTTACTATTATAGCACACACACACGTATATTAAATTTCTTTCATTCAATCCAAATAAGTTCCGTTTAAGCCACTAATCGAGCGGAACACTGGATACAATTGCATGGCGGTAGTAAAAAATAATCCAATGAATGAATGAATGGAGAACAGTCTTTTTCCGTTGATGCTACCTCGCCGTAGTATATCGAATAGCTTTCGTTTGAATCATTGACAGTCTTAGACCCTAAGGACTTGAAATCTCAATACATCCACTTCAAAGTATTCTTCTTTTGTAGTTATTGAGAAACGGATACCTCGGACAACAGAATATGGCTCGCTTTCTCACCTATTGTGTTCTAAATACGCCCTGTCAACGTCAATCCCCAACTAAACACATTAAAAACCACAAAAGTTTCTTTACTGAGGATAAACAAACAAACAATGAATACCGACCAGCTTCCTGATTGTTAAATACTAATATATAAATTTTTTATTTGAAAATTTATATCTAAGCTGATAAATAAAATATTAACTTGATTTTAAAATATAATTTTTAAATCAAATTAATTTTTTTATTAATTTATACTGAAACAAAAAATTAATTTGAATTAAGAGAAAAATTTTTAAACTAAGAAAATAATTTTGAAAAGTTTCATTGTTTTGAATCGAGATTAAAAATTATTTAATTAAGTTAAATTTTCTTAGTTTAAGAATTTTTTTCGCTCAAATCAAGTTCTTCAAAATTATTTACTTGATTCAAAATTTTTTTATCAAGTAAAATTTTCTTAAATGAAGAAAAATTTTTTAGTTTAAGAATTTTTTTTTCTCAAATCAAGAAGATAAGCTATCAGATAAATAATATTCTATCAATTAGTGATTATCAATTATCAATTACTAAAATTTTTTTCGTGTTTTGTTTTTCTTTTCTTTCAAATTAAAAAAAATTTTTTAAACTCCTTAAATTTTTTAAATTTCTTAAATCTATTTTCTCTTTACAGATGCTATTTATTGTATAAAATCACTATTACTAAACATTCTACACATATGAAAATGTAACATATTGTTGTAAATTGCCGGGGGCGTTTATTTACAAATAAATAAATAAAGTTCTTCAAAATTATTTACTTTAACTAAGTTAATTATTTTAATTTATATAAAAAAAAAATTAACTTGAATTAAGAGAAAAATTCTTGAACCAAGAAGATAATTTTGAAGAGTTTCATTATCTTAAATCAAGTAAATTTTATTTAAATAAAAAAAAATTTCTAATTTAAAAAATTTTTCTCCTTAAATCAAGAAGATAAAATTCTTAAAAATAATAAACTTCATTAAAATAAATTTTTTTCTGTGTCAATACTTACAATAATAAAAAAAAAAAAAAATCATATAATTAAACAAACAAAAAATTTTTTTCTTACAGAAAGCCCACTGGATGAAAAATTCCAGTCGTCGAATCGTTTCCGGCTGTCATTCGACCTGAGCAGCATCCCTCAAGAAGAAATCCTAAAAGCCGCAGAATTAAGCTTGACGCGAATAGCACTGGAATCTGGATCAAAAAAATTAGCCCGAATCTTAGTGCACGACATAATCCGGCCAGGTGTAAAAGGCCAACACAAGCCTCTGCTGCGACTAATCGACAGCCGGGTGATCGACATGACCAGTAATTCCACAATAAGTCTGGACGTGCACCCAGCAGTGTCTCGCTGGCTGCAAGACGGCAACAACCACGGCCTGCTGATCCAGGTGAGCAGTAGAAATAGAACCAGCGACTCGCACGTGAGACTGAAGCGCAGCGTCGACGAGTCCCACGACACGTGGTCCTCATCCCGCCCGACATTATTCACCTACACCGACGACGGTCGCAGCAAGATGGCCTCAGCCTCCGAGATCATGGACCGCCGGGCCCGACGAGCTGCTCTGCGAAAAAACAGACGCAAAGACGGCCGTGAAAATTGCCGAAGACATCCTCTGTACGTAGACTTCGTAGACGTCGGTTGGAACGACTGGATCGTCGCTCCTCCAGGTTACGACGCTTTTTACTGCAACGGAGACTGTCCGTTTCCCCTGTCAGACCATTTAAACTCGACGAACCACGCCATCGTCCAGAATCTCGTCTACTCGACGAATCCCGCGATGCTTCCTCGAGCCTGCTGCGTACCCACCGCACTTAGCTCCATATCGATGTTGTACCTGGACGAAGAAAACAAGGTTGTGCTTAAAAATTACCAAGACATGGCAGTTATTGGTTGCGGTTGTCGCTGATGCTATTAAAAGTATTCTATTAAAATTTTACGCAATCGACGAGGCATTTGGGATTTAGTAATAACTTGTATGGATAAATATAATTGTATATGTATGTAGGTACGTATTATATCAACACAAGAGATGTGTTTACAACAGCTGTACGTAAACGCTGGCTCTTAAATGACTCGACTGGATATATAGGATACAGAGTCACATGACGACTGGACAAGAGGACATACAACAAGCAACAAGCAGTGATGACGTTGGTGCGTGTTTGCCACTGTTACTTGTATTGCTTTTCCATTCTCTCCCTACCATATGTATATAAATAAATAAATAAATAAATATACATACAGCATCAGCAAGCAAGCGAGCAAGGATTGCTCCATCTCAGAATCTCATATCAGCTCTGGCTTGTATATTGCTCGTTAGACCGAGCCCCGGTACATACAGGAGAACGGGCGTCTCTTGAGAGCCCAGAGTGCGTGACGCTGCCGCATTCTGTACACTTTCAGTAATCGACAAACTCAATATAAAACAACTTATGTACATATGTATTAAACCAAGGTGCCTGGTTGTACGCTGGATACGCTGTCTTCTTGTCTTCTTGCTTACTCGCACTCTGTAATACATATATATGTATGTAGAGATATAGATATCGATAGATATATATATATATATATATATATATTTATACATATACATGAATTTTTACATACGTGTGCGTTTTATTGCTCGGGCTAATGTATATAAGAGAGCTCTCTACTATACGCCGAACCTCCTTGGCTTGTATAATTTATTAATAAGGCGAGAAAAACCGGTATAAGACACTGCGACTGCATATCGTGTGTGTATATGTTATAAGCTTGTCCTCTGGATAGTATGTTTCAAATACCGAAAAACACTCATGGTAATTAGGAACGCTTGAGAGCTGAATATTATTTTATCTTTTTATTTTTAACTTTAATTATTATTATTAATATTAATATTATTTTTATTATTATTACTATTAATATTATAATTATTATTATTATTATTATTTTATATTATATGTATGCAGATGTATTACCTGGTTTAAATATGTCTTTTTTCACTTATTGATATTATACTAGTTGCCCACTTCTATGCAGTTATTTTCCGCACTCGGGATCCAGTTATGCTATTCATACTGGTCTTTGATCAAGTGCTTGCTGGATGATATGACGACGCTTTTTAAAAAACGTCTTTGTAAATATATAATTTTAGGATCTGAAAATTAAAATTATTGTGTAAAAATTTATTTTTCAATAGAGTAGATTGCAATTTTTTTTTTTAATTCGGATACCAATGACCCGTGGATGCTGTGACTCCAATTGAAATTCTCCAGTGTCCATTTAAATGAGTCCGTGAAATATCTGAAAATATAAGATTTAATAATAAGTTGTTTTTTTTTTTTTTCGTAATGTAAATTGTACCTGCTAAGGATTACTATTTATTCGCTTATTTCTTCTTAATAATTATTTGTAAAACAATTACGCTGTATATTTGTACAGGATAGAATTAATTTATAATTATTTTTAGTTGATTAATTATTAAATTTAATTATTATTTTTAGTAAAGTGATGAGTAATGATAATAATTATAAGTTTTAAAAAATCAAATATCTCTCCTCGTAATCCTGTACCCTTTCCTGCCTCCTCTAAAAATAATTGATTGTATAATGTGTGAATAAGCGGAGTCGTTATGTGTAAAGATTGTAAATAATTCATTATATTTGTAAATTATTAAGTAATGTATATTTTTTAAAGCAAATATCTTACGTATGATAAATGAGATAAAAAATTCATTAAAAATAATTTAAATGTGGTGCATGTAAATTGCAAATAAATTAGAGTAACTATTAAATAAACATTCTTTCATTAAACACACTATTTATAATTAATTTATTATAGTCTTAATTACTATAATTAGTTTTTTTTTTTGATAAAAAAAAAAATTATCGCATATTGTATAACTATAATATTTATGTGTATTTAAATACTATTAAACATATATTTATATAATTATTTTAAAGGCTTTTATATTAAAACATTTTTTAATTCAATAAACCGCGTTCAAATTAATTCAACTTTTTTTTTTAACTCCAAAATTAATAAAACCCAAGAAGACTAAATATATGTCTAAGAAAATTATTTAACTAAAAACAATTTTTAAAATTTTTATAAATTAATTACAATAAAAAAAATACTTTAAAAATACTTCAATAAATAATTTAAAAAAATTTTCTTAATAAATTAATTACAATAAATAAAATACTTTAAAAAAATGTCAATAAATAATTTTTATAATAAATTATTTACAATAAAAAAAAAACTTAAAAAATTTCCACAAATAATTTAAAAAAATTTTCACTTGTGAAATTTTTTTCATAATAATTAAAATGATACTGAATTTTTAACATACATCGAACAATTTTTTAGATTGTTATAAAAATTTAATTGTAAAGAAAAAAATTTAGTGAAAAAATTTCACATCTAGAAATTTTCAAAAATTGTAGGTGTGAATTTTTAAAAATATTCTTTTTATAATAATTAATTTGTTATAAAAATTCGAATAATTGTCAGATGTCTGCTAATTCCAGTATCATTAATTAAATGACTAAAAAAAATTGAATGTCAGTTTGAAAAATTAATTTCTAAAATGTAAAACAACCTTGCAATAAAGAGGAACAATAATTTTGGTACACTTTTAAGTATCTCGCGTGGGCAGTATACAAATAATAAAATAAAAAAATATACTCGTAAGTATTTGTGATAGTATATGTATATATATATATATACATACATGTAAGTATCAGTGTATAAAGTAGGGACCTTTCTCTTTGTTCAGCGGGGACGGTAGATGTGGAAATTGTTTCATAATGAGGGGTCATGTTAGAACAGGACGTCGAATAGTCTTTGTTTTTGAATGTCCCTTGGGGTCCTGAGTGAGCGTTTTACCACACAGGTAGAGAATGCGGTCCGTCGTACTCGATTGAGGTAGTATTTGTGAAGAATACCCCCAAGCAACGGCAACGGCAACGTCTTACCTTGGTCTTGCTCTTGCTTATGAGGTCTCAGTCTTCGCTTGTGTCTTTGTTTTATTTTTTCTGGCCCGTGCCCAAGCCCGAACCCGCGGACTTCGAGGAGAGCATTAAACAACTAAGCCAGAGAGACCTACTACAAGAGGTTGAACCGACAACTGCTGTATTATACTCACACAGAAAGCCTTAGCTCATTTTTGAGCCGGCGAATTTACTCTTCTTCATCACAGTCATAATCATCATCATCATCATCTTCTTCTTCTTCTTCTTCTTCTTTTACTTTGTCCCAGTAGAATTGTTCTATATGCCAGTCGAAAAGTCCTTGCCTCAATACATACAAGAACTAGACCGTACACCTTGATAATGGCTTCATCCTGTCGATAAACTGGCATCAGTGGGAGGCCAAAATAAAAGAATTATAATTATATAAAAAACGTTTCATCTAACCGTTAATATAACATAACAAGAATAGAAAATTTTAAGACCACCTATTCTCCCTCTACTCTTCTCTAACTTGCTTGCTTCTCGTCATCTCATCTTCATCTTCATCTTCTTTATGCGGTGTTCAACAGCCCGACTAACCTAAAGACAATTTAACATTTCAGGTAGTCGGAATCTCAAACTACTCACCAACAAATATGCTGACTTGGACAATTCATGAGAAATAATAACAATAACCATTTGTCTCTTTTTCCACCCTGAAAAACATGCTAATGCTTTTTATCCGTCATTCACAGATTCCCCGAAAGTGTTTAACGATTTACGCATCGGGAACTTTTTTTTCTCAAGTTTATTCTTGTTCAGTTTCATTCAACAAATTTTAAAAATGATTCACTTGTCATTGTTACTTTTTTAATAAATAACTATTATTATAAATTTCAATAATTTTTCATCTTCAACTACGACGTAAGCCGTTAATAATTATTTGAATGTCTTCTCGCCATCTGTGATCGGAATTTGCTATTTTTATTTGCGCGCGCATTTTTTTTTTTTTTTTCACATTTTAGGAAAATTAATTTAGCAGACATTTAATAATTTTGGTGAAAATAAATTATTGCAAAAAGAACTAGGAAAATGAATTGACATGTAGAAATTTAAAAAAATAAAAAATGCAATTTTTTTTTTTTAAATTTGTTTATTAAAAAAAAAAAAAAATTCTCATTCACACTTTACAATACTGAAATTTTTTTTTTACATAATTTTTTAATGACATTTAATTTAGCTCTCATTCGACAATTTTTTAATTTTCTTCAACACAAAAATTTATTCCAAAATATGATTTTTAAAAAATTGCATTTTTAATTTATTAAAATTTCTACACGACCAATTTTTAATTTTATTTAATGAAAATTAATTTAGCTGATATTTAATAATTTTTAGAACTTTTGTTAACAAATAAATTATGGCAAAAAAAAATAAGAAAAAAAAAATTGACATGTAGAAATTTAAAAAAATAAAAAATGTAATTTTTTAAAAATAATTTTTTAGAATTAATTTATTTATTAAAGAAAATTAAAAAAATTGTCAAGTGGCAGCTAAATTTAATGTCATAATTTTTTAATTAAATAATTGTCATTTTTTTTTTTTTTAAGTAATTAATATTTTTTTAACTTTAACAAAAAATTTCTTAAGTATTTTTTATAAAAAATGATAAAAGTACATACTTAATAATTATTTATTTCTTCTTTAGATAATTTTTTTTGTTAAAAAAAAAATAAAACTGTCAAAAAAATTAAAATCATTCCCATGTGACTTAATTTAATTTTTCCCCGCGTAGTGGCAGCACATTTTGTCAAACTTTTGCAGGAGACACAACAGTCTGAATGCGCGCGCAGAAAAAAGAGGTTAGATTCGACTATTAAACGTTTGTGATCGTCGTCGTAAATAGTTTATTGTTGAGTGTTGACTGCTGCTGCAAGTTGGTAAATAATAACTGGTAATTATTTTTATTAAATAAAATATTTATAAAATAATAAATAATGGGTTCAAATAAACGTCACAAGTCTGATAAAAATAAGGAATCAAAAAAGAAAAGACACCGCAGCCGTTCGAGGTCTTACAGTCCGGATCCAGACAAAAGTGAGCGACATCGTCACCACAAAAAGCACAAGAGGAAAGAACGTAAAGACTACGACAGTGATGGTGAGTATTATTATTATTATTATTATTATTATTATTATTATATGTTTTATATTTTATATTTTAAAATAAAAAATATGTGATTGATATTAATGAAGTTTTTTTGGTTTTCATTACATAAGATTATTTTCTGCAGTGGAAATAGTGACGACTCCACCACCTCCGCCGAAGATATCAAAGAACCACGATGTTACTCCACCTCCACCAGAGATATCAAGACCAAGGACACCATCACCACCTGCGCGTTCCAGTGGATCAGGTGGGAATTCTACTCTGTCGATGTCCATCGAGGAGTCCAACAGGATTCGTGCCAAGTTGGGGTTGAAGCCCCTGGAAGTAAATGCCGCGCCGTCCAAGGATGACCCGGCGAAAATTAAAGATGACTTGGGGGAATTTTATCACAAGCCGGCGCAAAATGTCGCGGAAAAAGTTCAAACTGAGAAAGTTAGGGAGAGGATCAATGTCCAGAAGCAGAAAAGAATGATTGAGACTAATTTGTCGAAGATCAGAACTCTAGGTGATGATGATTCTGATGAAGATGCTCTGGCTTGGATTGAGAAAAATAGACAGCTGCAGGAAGAGAAGAAGAAAGCTGAGTTAAGGGCTAAGCAACTGGATCAGCTGGATGAGGAGTTTGGGATTGGAGATCTGGTTAAAGAAGAGGTTAGGAATGATAGGAGGGCTGCTTATTCTGATAAGGATCTTCGGGGTCTTAAAGTTGAACATAATATTGTAAGTATTTTTTTATTATTATTCTTATTGAAAATATAATTTATTCCATAATAATAATTTTAGAGCTTGCATTTCATTATATAAGCTCATCCTGATGGTACACTCATCGAGAGCTTTCATTTGAGTACCCACATGCATTTTGATATATTTTTCATATATACATATATATAATATATATAAATATATGAAAAATTGATATGGGTACTCAAATTAAAGGTCTCGATGAGTGTAATGTCAGGGTGAGCTTATATCTTTAAAAATGTCATTAGTTTACACAATACAAGGTCGTTTCTTAATTATTGATATTTTTAAAGATATAAGCTCATTCTGATGTTACACTCATTAAGAGCTTTCATTTGAGTACCCACATGCATTTCTGATATATTTTTCATATATACATATATACATATAATATATATGAAGTATATGAAAAATTGATGTGGGTACTCAAATGAAAGGTCTCGATGAGTGTAACATCGGGATGAGCTTATATCTTTAAAAATGTCAATAGTTCACGAGATATAAGGTCATTTCCTAATTATGTTTCTAAAGATTAAGTATTTTCGAATTCAGCCTAAATACTTATCATAACAAATTGACTATCGGTGAGAATGGTATGAAACATTGAAAAGGCACAAATTCAAGTCAAGACCTTTCTAATGATATCAACTTACAACCATGAAAACCCATTTTATCATATAAATACACTGGCCACAAAAATTTTCTTATTCTATTAATAATATAGATTATTATTATTATTATTATTATTACAATATAATTTTATCCTTTAAAAAAAAAATAATAAAATTCTAACTCAAAAATTGTTATTATTGTTATTGTTATGAAAACTATCATTTCTTCTCAAAAATTAATAATAATTTTGGAGTTAGAATTTTATTATTATTATAAATTTAAAAAATTTATTGAACTATAAATTAAAATTTATTTTAAAATAATTAAAGACTTAAAATTAAATATAAAAAAATTTTTTTTTTAGGAAACGTTTGCAGAAGGACAAACAGTAATTTTAACTCTTCAAGACAAAGGAGTCCTGGATGAAGGCAACGACGTTTTAGTAAACGTAAATCTTCGTGACGACGAAGTCTACCACCGTAACGTAAAGAATAAATTAAAGAAACCAGGTTACGACGCTTACGACGAGGATCACTTCGACGAGTTTGGCCTGCCGAAGAACCAAGTTCTTGAAAAATACGACGAAGAAATTGAAGGTGAGAAGAAACAAAGCTTCATCCTGGGGATAGACAGCGCCAAGGAAGTCCAACAACGTCGTTCTGAAATAGTAAAGCAGCGATTAGCCAACAAGCGACTTGAAAGTTTGAAATTACAGGAGCCAAAGTTGGCCAGCGAGTATTACAATGAAGACGAGCTGGCCAAGTTTAAGAAACGCAAGAAGAAAGTAAGAAAAATAAGACAGAGTAAGACTCTCAAGGCCGACGATTTGGTTCCTGACAGTACGGATTATCTGAGAGATTTAGGAAGTAGACGACGAAAGAAGCCCGAAGAGACCAAAGTCAAAGCTGATGTTTCAGATGCTTTGGACGTTGCGGACTATGAATTGCCATCTAGAGAATTATTGAATGCTAAAATAGAAGAAGATAAAAAGGAGCCGGTGGTCAGTCGGGTTTTGAGTAAAAAAAATCAAATGAAAGATTCTTCGAGTTCCTTTAATGAAACTCTGCTTAATTTAATTAAAAACGAGCCGAGCAGTGAAGAGAAAAATATTTCAGGTAATATTACGCTAAATGCGACGGCTGAATTTTGTCGCACGCTTGGAGAGATCCCGACCTACGGATTGGCGGGCAATCGCGAGGATGACGACCGGGAGATGATGGACTTTGAATACGACGAGCCTAAAGAGGAGCCAGTGGAGCTTGAAGACCCGGATGATGGCCGTGGAGCTTGGAACACTGTGAAATTAGACGAAGTTAAGCGCGAGCCAGTCACCCTAGAGGCTGCTATCCTCGACGCAGAGCCCTCTCTAGGTCAGGGACTCAGCGGCGCTCTTCGTGTGGCCATGAGCAAAGGGTATCTTGATCAGGAAGACTCCAACAGACCTTCCGCGAGCAGGTTCGCTCATCTCCAAGCTCAGAATTATTCTATTGAAGATAAGACTTATGGAGATGATGACAAGTTCGGTCGCAGGGATAGATTTAATGGACCCTCGTCGGACTTTAAGGAAAAAGAAGGATTCAAGCCCAATGTCAAGCTCGAGTATATTGATGATGAGGGACATGTGCTAAGTTCTAAAGAAGCTTTTAGGTATTTGTCTCACAAGTTCCACGGAAAAGGTCCGGGGAAAAATAAAGTCGAGAAGAGGATGAAGAAAGCTGAGCAAGAAGTTCTTATGAAACGCATGTCTTCGACTGATACTCCTCTTGGTACCCTGAATCTTCTTCAAGCGAAACAAAAGGAAACACAGTCGCCGTTTATTGTCCTTAGTGGGAATAAACATATGCAGGCCACTTCTATTTCTAAGACCAAGCATTAGGTTTTATTTTTTTATTTTATAGGCAGGTTTTGAAAGGTTTGAAGGTTCACTTGAGAATTCTTTATCAGAGTTTGTAAAATTTTTATTACTTTAAAAATTTATGTAAAAAAAAATTAGCAATGTTGTAATCAGAAATTAAATGTATTGATTAGAAAAAATCTTCTATACACTCTTACAATATTTATCCATTTGGTTATTCAGCAATTATTATTATTTGATATAATGGTAATTATTGACAAGTGGGGTCAACTCCATTTTATGAAACATTTTCAAATTTTTTTTTTCTGCTTGTTTTTACGGCGCATTTATGATTAAAAATGTGAAAGAAAATAATATAGATTTAGATTTAGTTTTTTTGCCTTCAAAAGTTGGAAAAAATTTTAGCTTATGTTTTTGGATAAAGTTTCTATTTTATCTTTTTTTTTTTACATATTTTTTTTTGAAAAGTTCATAAAAAAAAATTGAAAATCACGATTTTCCGAAAAATTTATAAATTTGTTAAAATTATGATAATCAACTTTTTTTTTTTTAATGTTCATTTTTTTTATGTATTTAAAAAAAAATATATCAATAAAATCTAATGGAAATTTCGTTCACAAAAAATAAAAGTTAAAATGGTTGACCCCATTTGTAAATATTTACTGAAATTAATTTTTATTTTTTAGCTGAAAAAAAAAAAATTTATTTCTTCATTTAACAAATAAATTAAAAATTAATTTCTTGTCACAATAATTGCTATTTTTTTTTAATAAATTTTTTTAGTGTGTACAATATTGAGGTTTCATTTTTGCTTGTATTAAAAATAAAAAAAAAAAGTAATTAAGTCATATACTTTGTAAAAATAAACAAGAAAAAAATAAACGCCAAAACTAATATTTATTTTCAGATTGATACATTTTTTTTAACAGAACACCAAAAACACAAATACAATTTATAATAATAATTTTTTTGTTCATCAATTGTACTAGTTTTATTAGTATTTAAATTAAATTTCCATTATAATAGATAATAATAGTGCGCTTGGACAATTATGATAAATAAACATAATAATCATAATGTTGGCGTTGAGTTTACTTTTAAAAAACGGTTTAAAAATAAATGCATAATCACTGGATTTGTTTATAAAATTCTACTGCTATTATTTATATTGTATTTATATTTATATTTATATATATATATTTATATGATACATGTAAAAAAAGACAACAAAAAATTAATTGAGATGGTTAGTTGCAATATCGTTAACATATCCTGAGTACATTTTAGCGGTACTATAAATCACACACGATCGATGCACGTTTTTTTTTTTAATTAAAAATTAACAAGCTCTTGCTCTTATATTTTTCAGATTTTCTTTCTCGAGAGCTCTCGAGTCCACATGGAAGCATGCTACCCTATAATTTAAACTAACAATCAGCGAACGTTCGCTTTTTTTTAGTTCAAGTGCAGAATTGATTTTTACAAACATTCCCACACAATTTTTTAAAACAATAAAATTCTACTGGAAGTTCTAAGATGGGTTTAAATAATTAGTTTTTTAGTACACAAGCTAATTATTAAGCAGTGGAGCTAGTGATTAAAAAAATTTGCAATTACTTAAAATTTTAGTGATAATGCCTCTGATTAATTCTGTTAACTTAATTAATTAAAATCTAGGGATTAAAAAAATTTTATGAAAATTAATTTAGCAGATATTTGACAATTTTTTAAAGAAATTAATTAGTCTAAAAAAAATAACATGTAATTTTACTTTTAATAAATTAAAAATGCAATTTTTTTTAATAATTTTTTTGAACAAATTTATTTGTTAAAAAAAAAAAAATTGTCAAGTAACAACTAAATTTAATGTCATTTTTAATGAAAATTAAATTAGCAAATATTTGACAATTTTTAAATTAATATAAAAAAAATTATAATTTATTTTAAACAAATTTATTTCTTAAAAAAAATAAAAAAATTGTCAAGTGACTAAATTAAATCTCACAAAATTTTCCACTGGATTTAAAAAATCTTTCGTTGACTAAAAGCTCTTTAAACAGTAGCAATTAATTGATTAATTAATAATCTAATTATACATGATAACAGTAATAAAAACTTAAACAAGAAACGAGACCATAAATTTTTTTTGTTCATACAACTCATTCGTTCTAAATCACAAATAACTGTTTAAGAGCACCAAGTCTCACTTGATACATCATTACTTTATTTTATTTATTTTTTTTTTTAATTTAATTTATAACTTATATGTGTTATCATGAAATAAATCTTTGGCAGTTTATTTATTTAAAATAAAAAATTTTGACAAATGCTTTTAATATTTTGACTATGTGTTTTTTTTTTTTTTTTTTTTTAATAAATAAGTTGTAAAAGTTAGTGTAAAGACTGAGTATTCATAACACTGCAACGCTTATTTTATACTAGTACAATAACATAAATTACATTATTTTAGATAATAATGTCATATTATTTTCACACGTGGCCTAATTGATAATCCGTATCAAGTATACAATTTTTTTTCTTTCCTTTGGAGTAAGATATGCAGAGAGATAATTAAAAGATATGTATCTAACCAACTGATTATTTAACAAACCGATGTTACCAATCTTAAGTCTTTGTGTATGATAAATTTTCTTCGGCAGTGTAAAAATTTAATAATTATAAATGACAAATATATTTTAACAATAATGAAGATAAAGGCCGAATTTAATTTTAAAGCTTCCATTAACATTAACATTAATAATAATTTAGCTAAAATTGTTTATTTGTTTAATCGATAATTATTTTATTTATTTCTTCTCTATTCCTTTCTTTTAATACGATCTCTCTCCATGGAATACATTGATTGACATAATATTGACACAAATCACGAGAAAAAAAATTAATCTAAGACCTACTAGAACACGCGAGACACTAGACGTTACTATAGATATACTCTTACTCATACAATTAATATTTACTTTATTTGTGTGTTACTTCTAAAGTTATTTTTTGGAACGTGATATCTATTTGGCACTTATTGACTTGCCTATTACTGATATTAAAAATTACTAGTTCAAGTGCCATGGGTCTCTGTTCTAGTGACTCTAATTAATTTTATTTTATTTTATTATTTATCTTCTTCTTTTCTTTTTTTTTATTTCTCTTATACCAACTCAACCGCTGAATTTTTCTCATACAAATTTAAAAAATCTATTGCTCTGACAAATTTATTTTTAAATCTGTTTTTTTGTACCATTAAACTTTGCCACGCGATTATTTGGATGGCATCGCTTTTAACTTTCCAACCAGCAGTAAATCAAAATTATTAGATCCAAAGCGAGATAAATTAAGTAGGAATTCAGTCATGTTAAATTCTTGTATAATAATAATAATAATAAATTCTTAGCTGAATATAAAATAATAAAATATAAATCAAAAATATAATTGTTAATGATAATATCAATAATAAAAATTAATTAAATACGCTGTCTTATATAAGTCGTACCTTTACTCTTTTGAGCTTTATCAATTTTAAGAATTCTGTTTTATATCAATTGATAACTTACTTGTGTAATTACTTTTTTTTTTTTTTTTTTTTTTTTTTTCACTGGCCTCTTCTATATTATTAAAAAAGCTGAGCAAATCACGACCTTACGTATCTGTATATTTTAATCCATGGCAGTACATACTTTTCAGAGTGTTTTTGCTTACTTGTGTAATTACTTTCTTTTTTTTTTTTTTTTTTTTTTCACTGGCCTCTTCTATATTATTAAAAAAGCTGAGCAAATCACGACCTTACGTATCTGTATATTTAATCCATGGCAGGTACATACTTTTCAGAGTGTTTTTGCCTTTTCCAGCAAATCGTTGATGAATTTCTATAAAAAAAAAATTAAAAAAAATTTTTTTTCAATAAATGCACTATTTTATTTTTTAATTTTGTTTATTTAATAGCATGGTCATGAGCGACTTCAAGATTATAAACAATTTTAAATTATTATAAAGTAAAAGACCTAGTTATTGACACTTGCAATTTTATTTTAATTAAAAAAACAAATCATCTCTGATAAATTAATAAATACAATTTTTGAATTATAAATTTTAAGATAATTAGTTTTTTAAAAACATTTAATTTTTTTTTTAATTAGATTAAAATTGCAAGTGTCAAACAACTAGGTCAGTGTCAATAACTGGGTCTTTTACCTTAAATAATATTTCAAGAACATATAGAAAATAATAAAATTAATATTTAAGCAATTATACATGCATGAAAATTTTGAACCATAATAACTAAATATTTGGACTGCAATTTAGAATGCAACATTAGAAATTATTGTTTAAATATTTTTGTGTAATTTTTTCTAACGTTAATTTTAATTATTGATTTAGTAATAATAATAATTAATTTTACACTACAATAATTATAATTAAATATTACCTTGACATCATGGGGTTTTTTAGCATCAACCAAAAGTTCCTAAAAGTAAAAAAATTATTTATTAAATATCAAAAATAATTTAGCAGAAATTTGATAATTTTAAGGAGCACAACCATGTGGAATTTTGAAAAAATCTATTTTTTTTTTCATATTTCGATAGATTATACCTTTAAAAATAACATACTCAAATTTTAAATCGATATCTCAAATAGTTTCTGAGCTACAAAAAAACGCGTTTTTCTCAAAACAGCATTGTTCGAATTTTCTGGAGTGATTACTCGAAAACAAATGATCCGATCACTACCAAATTTTTTTCTGCATGTTCTGTATATAATTCTCCATACTATGACCCTCCAGTTTTTTGATCTGATCAAAAATCGAATTTTGGCAGGCTAAAAACGACCAAAATTTTGGGTAAAATTCATTTTTTTTTAAACGCCATTCTGTCAATTTTTGATTTTTTTTTTCGACCGTGGGAGAATTTTATTTACCACCGTCGATCGCGTATAACTTGGAAAATATTTAGTTTTTTTCTTAAAAAATTTTACTGTATATTCTTAAAATATGTATTAATATACCCTAAAAATTTTAAAACAATTCATACAAGAGTTTTTTTTATTTTAATTCCCAAAAATCGCCTTTTTTGTTACACTGGTTGTGTCCCTTAAGAATTTTTTTAAAAAATAAATTATTATTTATTTAGTTTAAATGCCAAGGCAGCAAGCCGAGTGGCAAAATTAAATAATAAAAAAAATAAAAAATCCAATTTTTTAAAAATAATTTTTCAACTAAATTTATTCGCCAAATAAAATGAATTAAAAATAAAAAAAAACTTACTTGTAAATAACTTCGTCTATGATCGTCGCTATCCATATCCAACAATTCATCAATATCAACCTCAACTTCCCGACTCTTGCCATTATCACTCTAAAACAATAAAATAATAGAATAGAACAAAGAAAAAAAAAAAGTAAAGCAGTAATTAAATAGAAAAAAAAATAAATATTGGAGTATTATAAATTACCACTGATTCATAGAGCTTCTGAAGCTCATCAAAGAGCCACATCTCAACAGCGAGTCTCTTTCTAATTAAAGACATCTGATGTGAACCATATTTAGCCGTGAGAAATTTCTCACGTTTTTCTTTAACTTCACCTTTTTCCGTGAAAGCCACGTGCAAATTAGCACGAGCCGGGCTACGTTCTGCCGTCAATACACCTCCGACTCCTTCCATTATTTAGCAAACAATTATTATTATTATTATCACTATTCTTCTTACACCAGGTATTATTTATTACTGTTATCTGTCAACAAAGGTAATAAATTTAATTTAGTATTAATTTAATAAAAAACCGATCGATAATTAATTTAATTTCTAGAAAAAATTTATAGCCCATAAATTGATGATAAAATTTTTGATACTAAAAAAAAAAAAAAAAAATTATATTTTGTTATTGTTATTTATACCATTGTTGGACATGGAATTTTTATATACATCCTGTAACACTTTTCTTTGTGTTGCTCATATTACATGCATGCACACATCCTACATTCGTGTAATGATAATAATTATTACACTATTTACATTGCATTAACATCTATATTTATATTTACGTTTGCACAAGTGCTAAATGCTAATTATACTTACAATAAACTCTAATTTATTAGCCCGGTATTTTTGTTTTATTTTTAATGAGATTCTTAACCAAATATCAATTATTTTTTACATTAAAAATTTTGTCTTGCTAATTACCAAACGTTAAATAAAAATTTTTAAATTTCACTTAATTATTTTGTAAATAAACACCAACGTCGGTTATAATAATAATAATAATAATAATAATAACAGTAATAATAATAATGAATAAAATAAGTAACAAGCAAAATTCTAATCGCGTCTCCTGACAATTCACTTGACGATTGACAAGAGTTCTAGTCTGCACCAAAAGTCTGCTCGCTAAGTCTCAAGTATTTATTTCAATGCACCTTTTTTCCACCGAATAATAAAGTACTTGTTAATTTATCAGCTGTTTCATTGGCTGACACGTTACTGGGCTCCTCCAATCATTTCTTCCCAGCTGATATTATTTCTTCAGTTTAAAATCAGCCTTAGTGTTTATATTGTAGTTATTATTATTGTGCCTCCAGTATTTACTGATAAAGTATTTACTGATAAATTTTACTTATTCATTAAAAAGTAATTAAAATAATTAGAAAAAAAATAATTTTTTTTTTTTTTTTTAGGATAAGTAATAAAAATTTGGAATTTTTTTTTATTTTAAAATGAAATATTAAAATCGATATTAATTAATGCATAATGCATTTTTTTTGGTAATTGTTAATTAATGCTTGTAATGACGACTTCAAAGTGCAAAGTTGGACATATTGTTAATTAGTTTATTTTATTTTAATAATTTACTAGTGAAGAAATTATTTTAAGTGTGGGGAAAAATATTATTTGATATTTTGACATTTTTTATATTGTTATTTTAATATTTATAATTATTATTGTAAGTAAATAATTGAACTTTGAACTATAATTTATCTAGTACTAAGTCGGTAATTAATTTAAATTATTAAAAAATGAATCAAAGACCTAATTCATCGCAGTTTAATCAGTTCCAATCAGGATTCATGCCTAGGTAAGCTTGATGTTCATCAGCCACGTAGAATAGAATAGAATATCGTTTTTATTTGTATCACATATTGCGTTTTACAAAACTTTATCTTAAATTATTTATTTACATTTGCATATACACTATTTTTGGCTTAAAAATCAACTGCTTTTACTCTCTTTTAACTTTTCACCCACCTCATCCTTCATATCACAGTCGCATTACAATACTATTAATACTATTTTATACTTATTTCTAGTATCCATCCCTGTATATTAATGACAGCCTTTTTCTGACATTCAATATTGTAATACTACTCAATTTCCTTAAATAATTTTTCCATTTCTCTAACATATATACACAGCTCCCTATTTATTTCCCCTTTTAAAATTATCACTAATCTTTCTCTTGTTAATTCCCCCTCTAGTTTTTCCATCCACTTGTATCTTGCTTGTTGCCCTTTTTCACTTATTTTTTCCATTATCTCTGAACAGCTTAATAAATGCATCAGTGTCTCCTCCTCTTTCTTGCATATTCTGCATTCCCAATTCTTTTGCCCTTTTTTTCCGCTTCTCCACAGATTTCCACATCTCGTTCTTGCCCATACCTCTTTGTACTCACTATTAATTCTATCTTTTTTCCAATAGCTGATTTCACTTTCTTGTAATATATCTTTGTAAAACTCGTTATATCTGGACTTTTCTATTATCAACTTTTCCTTTTTTTCTAGTTTTTTTTTTTGTATTTTTCCAGTCCCTCCTTTATTTTTTCCTCTATTTCTTCTAATAATTTCTTCTAATAATTTCTTCTATGCCTATCACCACTAGAAAATTCTCCACTTTTTTTCCCCATTTTGTTGGATTTTTGTTGATTATTCCCCTCATTTCTTCTTTCATGCATATCTTTGGCCATCTGTTATCTTCAAGCTTCATTATATCTACCAGGTACCTGAGTGCCCTTTCTTTTAATATATACTCTATGTGCTCTATTTGATAATTTTCAGAATTTATTTTAACTAATAAATTATAATAAAAAAAAATTGAACATTTAGAAACTTAAAAAAATAAAAAAATGCAATTTTTTGAAATAATTTTTTGGAGCAAATTTAATTGTTAAAAAAATGATATTAAAGTTAGCAGATACTTAACAATTTGTTAATTTTTTGTAATAAATTAAGTGTGAATAGACACTTCTTATATAAATTTGCTCCGAAAATTTATTTCTAAAAAATTGCATTTTTCATTTTTTTAATTTTCTTAATTGTCAATTTTTTTTTTCTCATTTTCTTTGACATAATTTATTTATCAAAAAAATTTCTAAAATTATAAAATATCTGTTAAATTAATTTTAATATTAATAAAATTAAAAAATAATCAAATAATGTGAAAATTAACGTAGCACATATTTGATAATTTTTTTGAGAAATAAATTGTGGCAAAAAAAAATAAGAATAAAAATTGACATCTAGAAATTTAAAAAAATAAAAAATACAATTTTTTTAAATAATTTTTTCGAGCAAATCTTTTTGTTAAATAAAATTAAAAAACTGTCCAGTGATAGCTAACTTGAATGTTACTCAAGTTACTGCTAACTTCAATGTCATAAATATATTTACTAATTTTTTTTTAATTTTTATGACAGTGGAGGAACTTATACACCAGGTGCTGCTCCACCACCTCTTCCTCCTAGAGCAGTAAATCACGGAACAGCGGGTTATAATCCGTACATGCGGAATTCTATGTTAGGTTACGGCGGCTATGGGTACACAAGTGGATTTCCCTTTGGACAATTCAACCCCGGGTTCGGATCCTACCCCTATGGATCCAGTTATGGAGCAGGACCAAGTGGAGACGTCGAGAACAGGATAATTCAGTTTGCGGAAGAAAGCACCAGGCCGGCTTTCCAATCAATCCAGTCGATCATCACTACGTTTTCTTCTGTAACAATGATGCTGGAGTCGACGTTCCTGGCCATGACCAGCTCGTTCCGGGCGATTCTTAGTGTCGCTGAAAATGTTGGGAAAGTTAGATCTATGTTTGTACAGTTGTGGAATACTTTTGCGCTGATACGATTCGCTAAATGGTTGTACAAATATGTTGCTTATAAATTAGGTAAATTTTTTTTATATAATTAAATATTTTATTTACAATAATTTTCTATAAATTGAGATGGAATATTTATGATATATAAATTAAGTGACATATAAAAATTCTTGAAATTTTCATAACAAATCAATTATTTATTTATTTATTTATTTAACGCCAAGCGGCAATATACATAAAGATATAAAATATACAATATTAAATTTATCAAATAAATTTAATCAAGTGATATTACGTTACATGATGATGAAGAGAACAGATAAAAATAAAAATTTTTAAATTCTAAGATATAATTGCAAGCACTAGATGGGGGAAAAAGCAGATTTTAAAGGAGAGATTAATTTATTTATCCGAGCTCAATTAGATCAAGAGATGATTCTTGGAGAGAGGATTCTTCAAACTTCACCTTGAAGAGAATTTACCAGAGTAGCTAGTCTATTCAAAGGACCATGTATTACGTAGTTCTTTTTTGATTTGAATATATTATTATAAAAAAAAATATTTTTTAAAATTTGCACTTATAATTTGTTTCAATTTCTACATGTGGAATTTTTTTGCTAAATTTTTTTCATAATAATTTAATATAATTAAAGTTGAGCGGATATAGGATCTTAATAAAACGCTAAGAAACTTTATTATTTAGCGACGTTTTATGCACTTTATTTGCACTTCCTCTAATTATATAATTACAAGGATCTTAAAGCATTGGGATAATAATTTAATCGTTACTTATAAAAATCTAAAAAATTTTTTTAATTTTTATAACAAATCAATTATAAAAAAATATTTTTTAAAATTTGTACTTATAATTTTTTTAAATTTATACATGTAGAATTTTTTTCTTAATAATTTAATTGTTACAAAAATTAAAAAAATTTTTAAATGTCTATCAAATTCAGTATCATGAATATTTTCAATTTAAACAGCAATTTTTTATTTTTTTGTTTTAATTAATTGCTATTATAATTTTTAGGATTTTCTTCTACCGATCCTAGAGATGAAAGTCTATGGAAAAGCGTCGAATCAGCTGTTGGAGGTGAAAAAGGACCTTCAACATGGCCAATTCTTTTATTCTTCAGCCTGTTAGCAGTGATACCCTACCTAGTTCATAAGTTAGTCAACAGTGTGCAGCAATCTAAGCCAGCAGCAGCAGTAAATCCCCAGGCTTGGTTTGAATTAAACGAACCTGTGTACTGGGCAACGGCGATGTACGACTTCAACGCTGGATCCCCTGAAGAAATAAGCCTGAAGACTGGACAAAAGGTCTGGCTTGCTCCGCAGTCCCTACAGCCAAAAAATATGCCCGGGTGGTCCCAGGCGACCGACAAAACTCGAGTCGGCTTTATTCCTTCTAATTATATTAATGTCGGAGCGCAAGTCACCAGGAAAAGTGATACTGATGCTTATGCTTCTAACTCAAGTACTAAAGACTTGGAGGAGAGCTTCAAAGACGCTAATGCTGAGACTAAAAGGCCAGAATCTTGTAATGATGAAGAATCTCTGGTTAATAATTCTGAACATGTAGTTTAAAATTCAATGTTGAAATATTCTTAACTTGCCAGTACAGTGATAGTAGAATTTTTTATAATTTTAGACTTTAATAAATAATAAGAACTAATTTAATGAACTTTTTAAAAGTAATTATTATTTATTATTTATATAGTGGTTTGTGTTGTTAAATATTATAAACTGTAACTCGTAAAATGAATTTTTTATACGCTAGAATTTTTAAAATGATCAAACTCTCAATTTAAAAAATAACTATGATAGTTATTTCTTACTTTTCATTTAAAAAGGCAATTAATTTTTTTTAATTAGATGAAATTTATTGTGAACAATTGTATATAATTTTAAATTATCTGACGAATAATATTAAAAAAATTATTATGCCAAATAAAATATAAATTTATTGTCATTTTTTCTTTTTATTTTAAAAAGAATTTTAGTTAATTTTTTATTAATTGTAAATCAAAATTAATATGTCAAATAATTCTTTAAGGAGAAATTAAAATTGCATGTACTTCATTTTTAATTAATAAACAATTAGGGATTATTTTGAAAATTTTGTCTTAATTAAATTTTTTAATTAAAAAAAAATTTTCCATCAAATAAAAAAAAATAAAAAATTACGGATTAAATTTATTATAATTAAATAAAATAAAAAAAAAATAAATAAATTGTTAGAAATTAAAAAAAAAATTTTTTTTTATCAAAAAAAAAAATAACGATTGAATTTATTTTCTAAAATTTTATTTTAAATAAACTTAAAAAAAAAAATAATTGTTTAGAAACTTAAAAAAAATCTTCCAAATTTAATCAAAAAAGAAAAAAGTTTAGACAAAAAAATTCGATAAGTTTACGACATTTATTATCATTGAACTTGGTAACGTTTATTTACATCGAGAAAATCAATAATAATAATCATCATTAATTTCCATCATATATTATTTAAATTGCCGTTATTTTCACTGTAGATAATAAATAACAATTTATCCCTTTTTAGAAAATCCAATTGTAGAATAAAATTAGGATCCATTATTGGTGTACTATAAAATAAAGGACGGGATAGATCGATGGTCTTGTCGGAAATAAATCCACCCTGTTATTTAATAAGTAAATTAATATAATGTAATTTAATCATAATAATAATTAATGGATAATATTATTATTATTATCTAAAGTAACTGCAAACAATCGACTAATTTATGCGAATCTTTGTTGTTGTTTAATGATTTGAATTTTCTAGTTAAGTTTTAACATTTTAGATAGGAGTTTTCTTCACAAGTTTAAACCAATGTCCACATTTACAGCGTCGTGGGATTCCTGAGTGTAACCACATCCAGAGTATACTAGTTGAGTCTTCCTCGCAAATACAACCAACAATACGACTGTTGAATGCACTTGGTACTTCGTTGGGCTGATCTTTGGTCCCAGGACCGCGAATGATTCCTTTCATCATGAAGGGATCCTAAAATAAATAAAAAAAACCATTTTTTTATTAATTACTTTCTCTTCCTTAGAAGATTTCTTCATCTATACAATTAATTTTTAACTCATAAAATTAATTAATAAAAAAAATAAATAAAATCTTACGTCGTTTCCAGATTGGTAAGCAAGCAGCTCACGCTTTTCAAGACCAGTCGCGAGATCCATGGGATCAGGCATTTCTAAAAATCAAATGAAATTTATTGATTAATTTAAGAAGATAATTATAGAGTTGTTAAGTGATAAATTGCGGAGGATAATTGAGATAAATAAAGATTTTGCAGTAGGAGGCCATTGCAATGTCTCGTCCAAGTCCATCACATTGACTAAATTACATAATGTAGCTTGTGTTGGGTAAGAATCAATGACATTGTGGTTAGCAAAATGATTATCAAGAGTAACGATGACTTACGGTCTTTACGGTATTTTCCACAGACTGGAGCTGTGGAAAATGTTCGGCTACATGCCTGGAATACAGCTCGTCTGCACAACGAGGCCATTTTTTAAAGATTTATTTTAATAAGTGTGATACTCGTCACTGTTTGCCGATCTCCGACGAATTTTACAGGCCACTGGGCACTCGACTATGAGACTCGTCATCGTCATCCCTCCATTATTTTTACCTTTTTTAACCCTGAAATTACCATCTGGAGGTAATTTGACAGCTCTGCAGCTCTGCAATTACATAAATTTAATAATCAATACTAAATAAATTTAATAATTACTAGCAAATTTTGACATTTTATAATTTTTTGACAATTAGTTTTTTTTATTTATAATAATAATTAATGACATTAAAGTTAACAGTCACTTAACCATTTTTTCCAAAAAATATTTTAAAAAAATTGCATTTTTGATTTTTTTAAATTTCTACATGTCAATTTTTTTTTACCATGATTTAATTGTTTAAAAAAATTTTTTAAATTATAAAATATCTGCTAAATTAATTTTCATTAATTAATGACATTAAAGTATTATCATAATTTATTTGTTTAAAAATATTGTTTAGAAATATTCTTAAAACTATCAAATATCTGCTAAGTTAATCTTAATTAATAATTACTAAGTAAATTATATTGAAAATAGCAAACATCTAAAAATTTTTTTTATATTTGCACTTGTAATTTTTTTACAAAATACTAAAATTAGCCGACGTTTTTAATTTCTTAATTTTTTATCCATTAATTAAATTTAAATTAGAACAAAAACATATATTTAAAAAATTGCACTTAAAGTTTTTGAAGTTTTTTACAAATGAAATTTTTTTTTCAATGTTTTTGTAAATAATCATTTTTTTAATAAAAAAAAAAAATTCTAAAAATTTTTAGATGTGAAATTTTTTCATTAAAATTATTTATAATAATTTTATTATAAAAATCCAAAAAATTGACAGATGTCTGTTAATAATAATAATAAAAATATATAATTATTTACAGATGGTTAAAACTCAAAATAGTGAAATGACATTTTCCTAATAAAAAAATAAAAAACAACACTAGGTAAATATAAATAAATTACAATTATTATATTATAACAAATAAATGAAATTAAAATTCTTATTTTTTGCAAAGAAGAAATTATATTTTTACAATTAAAACTAAACAAACTATTTAAAATATAAAAATCAAACAATAAGAACTAACAGTATCCGCCATCTTGCCGTAAAGCGACATGACAGTAATAAAAACATGTGAAAAATACTAAAATTATTAATTATTTAATTACAGATAGACTGAAAATACTAAAAAAGAATAAAAATAAATAAAAAAAACCCTTAAAAAATAGATAATCAACATTAAAATAATAAATAAAATAACAAAAAATGATTGCGCAATCGCAAACTAGCGCAAGTGTAGTTCTCAGTGCAGGGACATATGCACTACCACATATAGGACACAAATAGTAATTCTAGATTGTTCCTTTCTCAAAGTACTTTAGCAAGTTAATGCGCGACATCTATCGCGGATCTAATATCACGGGTGCAACACCTGTATGCATGGGGTTTCTGCGTTAACATACAGTCTACCGTACATATAACAAAGGACTAAGTTGACTAAAAGAAGAAATAAAAAGGTAGTTAATAAATTCTCGCTTGTAAAAAAGAGTTTAGTGTTGTTTTTCAGATAAAGTGTTGTCACAGAGTAAAGAGAGTGCCCGGCGGGTCGTGTAGTAATCGGCCGCGCGGGATATTGGATATCCAGACAAGGAGCAGCACACAGCACAGGCCTTAGGTAGCTCGTGCCCGTGTGTAAGTAATTTTTTTAATGGATCCTACTATTGGCTGGTATCAACCGGAGCAGTTTGGGCCAGCTAAAGACTTGTGGCTGCAAATTTGGATCGCTGAGAAAGGCCTTGATACGTTGACATTAAAAAACGAAAACAGCATAGTAGGCTGTGGTGGCGGCGGCGGCGGTGGTGGGACGAACACTCTTGTTAACAGTGTTGGTGGTGGTGTACCAACAGCAATGGCTACTTCTGGCAACAAAGGCGTCCAGGACTTTATTCCTCTTCAGGACAGTCACAGCAACGCGGCTCTAAACAACCGCGTTGCCCATCAGGAAGACCACCGGAATCACCAGACGACCAATCATCTCCAGAGGAGCTTACCAGTCACCTCAAATATGTACTACAACCCGTCTCGCAGGAAAAATGACAACCGAGCCAGCACTTATGGTCTCAATTACAACCACGACACCCTCATCGGCGAGTACGGAGGATGTCCTTGGAGGATTCCCAGCAAGCAGTACAGTCCAGGAATTATTGGGTAATTTTTTTTAACACCTGTCAGATTTTTTTTACAATTTTTATTAGACGTAGTTAATACTTAGGAATAGTATGTCAGGTTGACTTTTTTTTTTGCCAACATCTTTCGCTAGCCTTGAATATATTTAGAGAGTGGACCGCAATCCGCACGAGGGCGCTTACCAAGAGGTTAGAAATTACACGTGAGATTTTCTAAATCTTATGTTCAAGATGTTGGAATTTCAAGTAGTTACTTACCTATAGTAACTTGGGTTTAGCCCTACAATTTTTATGAGTCAGATAGATAACACGCCTGGAAAATTTTATTACTCTAAAAATTTTATTAGGCGGATAATATTCTCAGGGGATTTATTTTAATCTTTATTTTTTTCAGCAATTTTTAGTTGTAAGAAAAAAAAAAATTGCTTTTGTCATTTATTGACAAAGATTATTATCTAAACCTGTAAAATTCTTGACGGGATTTATTAGAAAATTTGTTACGCTGATTTTAAAAATTATTTTATGTTTACAAATAGAAAAAGTATTATTTTCTTTCTAGGTATTTTATGAGTCATTTATCTATCATTGATAAAGAAACTAAATATTTCTTGCAATGTAAAATTTGCTTGGAAAAATTGTGTGATATAATATGATGAAATAATTAGTTTTTTTTTTTTCTTTTTTTTCTTTTAGGCTTCATGAGGAAATAAGTGACTTTTATAATTATATGTGTCCGACAATTGAAGAGCACAATTTGCGAATACGTGTTGTCAAGAGAATTGAGTCAATTATTTATGAACAGTGGCCAGAGTCTAAAGTTGAGGTATTTGGAAGCTTTCGCACTGGCCTTTATCTGCCTACAAGGTTTGTACTTTTCTTAAAGTACCGTTTGATAGATTTTTGCCGCAAATTTAAAACAATTTATAAAAAATGGTCCTAATTTTTGATATTGCGGCAAAAATATTGGTCCTATAAAAAATGTTTATTAAACAAAAATTCTAAATTTTATTTTATAAAAAAAATGTCTTGTTTTTTTTCTTAGATTCAATAATTTCACCGTAATTTTGAAAGTAAGATTTTTAATCATCAAAAAATTTGAACCTTTGATTATGAATTTTAGTTTTAAAATTACAGTGAAATTTTTTATCTTAAGAAAAAAACGAGACATGTTTTTTATAAAATTAAATTTAGAACTTTTGTTTAAAAAATCTTTTATTGGACAAATATTTTCGCCGTAATAATAAAAATTTGAACCATTAATTTTGCGTCAAAAATGTTAGCTCTAAATACAACTCCAAAAATGATTTTTGATATTGCGGCGAAAATATTGGTCGTATAAAAAATTTTTTTAAACAAAAGTTATAAATTTAATTTTATAAAAAAAAATGTTTATTTATTTATTTAAATTGTTTGATGCCAAGACATTGGCCGAATGGCAAACATATACATTGTAGTTTCAATTAAAGTACACATAAAAAAAAAAGATAAAAAAATAATCAGAATATTAATTAAATAATATATATAGATCAGAGTGTGACAAAATTCAACTTCCGTGATAGACCTCTTAAAATTGGAATTTTGAGTTCCGCTTTTAAAAGGAGTTGTGTTTGAAAATTTCCTGACATATTTTGAGCATAAGGGATTTATTTGATTATCATAGAATTTTTAACACGAGTTTTGTTTGGTCAAATTTTGAAATTTCAGCAAAAATGCCTAAACAAAACTCTTGTTAATGCTCTTGTTAATATAATATAAATTATATTAATCAGCTCATGGTACATTTCGTATATAATAAGAAATTTACAGTAATTTACATTTAATAAGTTACTTTGATAGTCTAGGCTCTAATTTAATATTTAAAGCTTATAGTTAGCTCTCCTTCTTGATTCAGGAAGAATTCATAAGCACTAGTTTTGAAAGTATGATAAGCGAGTTAATTATTTAATGTCTTTTATGTTTTATTCTTAGGATCAATAATTTCACCGTAACTTTCACCGTAATTTTTTTTTTTTCTAATCGTATATAAACACAGTTTTTTCTTTTAATCACAGAAAGAACAAGATTACAATGAGTATATTCCAGATATCACGCAGTATAATCTGAATTTTTTTTAGCTACTATCTGAAATTTTTTTTCCAGATATTCTGAGATATAATCTGGGATGATATCCAGTGTCATCTTGTTCTATCTGTGTAGGAAACATTTTTTTTTTAAATAAAATTTTGAACGTTTTTTAAAAAAATTTTTTATAGGACTAATATTTTCGCCGTAATTTAAAAAATTTGAACTATTTATTTAAAAATAAGTTCAAAAAGAATCTTAAAATGAATTTTTTAATATTTTTAGTGATATCGATCTAGTTGTAATCGGAAGGTGGGCGAACCTTCCGCTGTTTACGTTAGAAAATAAGTTCCTGGAGTATGATATCGCTGAACCGAGCTCAATAAAGGTGTTGGACAAGGCTAGTGTACCAATAATCAAATTAACCGATAAAGAAACTGATATTAAAGTAGACATTAGTTTTAATATGAACAACGGCGTTAAATCTGCGGAGCTCATTAAAAATTACAAAAGACGTTTTCCAGTACTTGACAAACTCGTGCTTGTTTTAAAGCAATTTTTATTACAACGTGATTTAAATGAAGTTTTTACTGGAGGTATTTCATCTTACAGCTTGATTCTCATGACGATCAGTTTTCTGCAGGTATTAATTCTAATAATTTAATCAATATTTTATTTAAAACTACAATTGTATTAATAATTATTATTATTTAATTACAGTTACATCCTAGACAAAATGTACATGAAAATTCTAATCTAGGAGTTTTACTTATTGAATTTTTAGAGTTATACGGTAGAAAATTTAATTATGTTAAGACTGGCATTAGAGTTAAAGACGGCGGTACTTATATTTCTAAGGAAGAGGTAATTTTATTTTTATTTTTTAAATATTTAAATATCACATTAAAATATTTTATGAATTTTTTTAATAAATAAATTTTTCATTTAGAATTTGTAAAAAATAATTTTCTATACTTAATTTTTTTATCAAATAAAATTAAAAAATAATCAAGTATCTGCTAATTTAAGTGTAATTAAATAATCAGTAATTATTATTTACACTTTGTACTTATAGGTTCAACGAGACATGATTGATGGACACCGACCATCGTTGTTGTGTATTGAAGATCCATTGACACCCGGTAACGACATCGGACGCAGCAGCTACGGAGCTCTCTATGTTAAAGATGCATTTGACTATGCTTATCATAATCTGGCTCAAGCTGTCAATCCAACAAATTTCGTTGATTCTTCTAAGCATAGGTATTAAATATTGTAAATTATATTTTCCAATTTTTACTTCCAGTTATTAATTATTATTATGTTTGTTTTTTATTTCAGTATACTGGGAAGAATAATCCGCGTTACTGATGAAGTAATAGAATACCGGAAGTGGATCAAAGACTCGTTTCCGAGTTCCGTCCTAGAATTAGATTCACTGTCAAGCTCGACTGGTTCAGACGCGTCAACTCTCTCAGCGCCTGCCAGTGATACAGTTAGTAATTGATAAAAAATTTTATTTTTAAAATACATTTTTAATTTGGTGCACTAGTTGAAACTTTAGCTTTTAGACAAAAAATTTTAACCTAAAAAAAAAATTTTTTTTTTTTTTTTTTAAATAAGAATTTTATCTTAGCTTATAACAAACCGTTTTGATATTTTAGTTAATTTCTAAAAAAATTTAACTATTCGAGTAGAAATTTTATAGACTTTATAAATTAAGTACATTTTTACAAATTTAATTCACAAAATCTTGCGCTTATAGAATTATTTATACAATAATTTTATAACAAAAATTAAATAATTTATTTAAATTATTATTAATTATTAAGTAATCTGAAAGGGTTGCTAACTCCGCCGCTAGATTAACTTGATTACTGAATAATGAATAATTTAAATAAATTATTTAATTTTTTTTATATAATTTGAAAATGGCCACAAATGGTACTTCTACCTTAATTTAATTTAAAATAGTTGAGAAATTTTTGCAAAATTTTTATTATGATTTATCATAATAAAAATTAACAAAATTGATATAAATTTAATTTAAAGTATCTACCATAAAAGTATACGAAAAGAACAAGATGACACTGGATATCATCTCAGATTATAATGAGTGAACAAAAAAATTTCAGATAGTAGCTAGTATAATCCAGATTTATTTATTTATTTATTTATTGAAAAAAACAAACCCAACAGCTTGCGCCATTAACAGGGTTAATAGAATTATACATAAAGTAAATATAAATTTATATATTTACAAAGCTTAACAAGATGTCCTATAACTAGTATAATATTTAATATCGAATATAATATTTATCAAAAATTTAATATTTAATATAATATTTATGCTTAACTTTTACGTTAAATAAGTAGCTTGGCGATACATTAGAAATCTTAGATAATTTATTACCAATATAATCAAGATATCACGCAGTATAATCTGGATTTTTTTAGTTACTATCTGAAATTTTTTTTCACCACAGATATCAATTTCCGTGTATACAAATAAAAAAAATTATTTTTTTTAACTAAAATTAAAATCTGTATAAAAAATTTAAGTTAATAAATTGTATGTTTTTATTTTTAGGATTCAGAGCACAGTCGTGGGAATTCTCCAAACACAGGTGGACAGATAGAAGACCGCAATCGAGACCGCAATGCGTACAACAATCAACAGAATCAGTATACTCACAATCCGTGGAAAAAACCCTACAAAACTGGACATGGTAGACCTCGATATTAGACTAGAAAAATATAAAAAAAAATATATATATTTAAATAGATATATATAATATACATATTAGGGTGGCGCAAAAAAACCGACTATTTTTTTTTTTTAAGTCTCGAGTGAAAAAATGTTAGTTTTTGATGTTTTAAGAGCTCTCACCAAAGGACAGCTCAAAAAAAAAACTTTTTAAAGTAGGTCACTCTAAATTTTTCAAAATTTCAAAAATCGTCAAAAATCGAATTTTTTTTTTTTT